GTGGGCCCGGGCCGCGCGCCCGTCAGCCAAGCAGGCGCGCCCCGGGAGCCGAGCGCAGCCCCGCTTCGCTGCCGCGTCCGCCCGGGCCCGGGGAGGCGCGGCCCGCGGGGTGCCCAGGAGGGGCCCGGGCCGCGCGCGCCGGGCTGCGGGGCTCCCCCGCCCCGCCTCAGCCTCCCGGCCGCCCGGGACCCCGGCCTCCGCGAGGGGACCCGGCCCCGCCGCCGAGGCCGTTAACGCCCCGCTGCCCGTCCGCGCCGGCCCGCCGCCCTCACCTGGTCCCGCTGGCCGCCCGCAGCGGGGAGAAGCCCCGGCCGAGCAAGCGGCCCCAACGCGCCCGGCCCGGCGGCCCCGCTGCTTTTCCGGGAGACGTGGAAGGGCGGCGAGGACCCCAAAACAGAGTGACCTCTCGGCTGCCTGAGCGGCGGAGCCGGGAGCAGCCACGGGCAGGCGATCAGGCGGGGCGCCGGCGGCCGCGGGGTCCTCGCGCTGGCCACGCCCCCTTCCGCCTGCGGCGCGGCGGGGCGGGACGGGGCGGGGCCTGCCTGCGTGTGACGTAGCTCGCCTCCCGGCACGTGGCCGGCACAACATGCGAGGCCACGCCCACAGTGGGCGTGGCCCCCCTGCCTTCGGGCGGCAGCGGGGGACGGGCCTTCCGTCAGCCCGCGGGGGGGCAGGGCCGCGGGGGCGTCCGCGAGCCGCACGCCCGAGAGACGGGCAGGGGCCGCGGTGGCCGAAGCGGTGCGGGAGGCACTTCAAGGGCCTGGTCAGGGACGTTCTCTCTGAGGAGGTGGCGTTTGAGCTGAGAATCAGGTGGCGACAGGCCCGTGACGGCCGCTCCCGGCAGCGCTGGGGTCGCGTCCGCGCGCACGGCCCGGCCGGCGTGTGGCCACTTGTCCGGGGGAGAGGCTGTCCTCAAGCTGATCCCACACAGGCTTCGTGGACGCCACCCCCACGCCAGGCCAAAGCCGAAGCCACTGGGAACTCCACATCCCGTCACCACCCACGGGAAGGTGGCTGGACCTGAGGGTGGGGTTCAGCAGCCAGGTGGGTATAAAGGCAGACCCGTGGGCTTTGGGGGGGGGGGCCCCCATTTTGGGCTCCCCGCCAGCTCGCAGCGTCCGGCCAGCTCGGAGAGTGCCTTTGGGTTTCCAGGTCGGCGGATCGGGGAGGACGCATGAAAGACTTTATTTCCCTATTTTCTCCCTGAGTTGTCCATTTTCCTTATTTCCTTTTCCCTTGTCAATAAACCTTTTATGAACCTTCTGTGTGTGCCTGCAGTGGAGTATTCATAAGTCCCTTGTAAGCGCGCGGGTGAGGACCCACAGCCAGGAACCCGTTCAATATCGGGGCTGCCCTATAACACACTCAGCGGCTTTCAGCGAGGCTGGGCTAATCGGACCCTCAGGACAAGCCTGAACATAAGCCTAAGGACCCCCCCTCTTCAGGATGAGGAAAAGAAAGGTCAGAGGTTGAGCAACTGCGGTCACTGCCCCAGTAAGGAGTTCACACTCCTCAGAAGCCTGTATCCGCAGACTCAGTGTTTTATTGTTTCCAAATTAAATTGCAACTTCTTTTCTGCCGCCAACTCAAGATTAGCCCAGTCCAGTGAACAGAAAAGAGAAGATATTCATGACACTACTATTCTCCGCCACTTACTGGGCCCTTATCAAGTGCAGAAGACTGTGTCACGCTTCGGGCATGCTTTAGCTCTTGGAGTTTTACAACAGCCATAGGAAGGTACTGCTTCTATCTGGTGGTAGGTGGTGGTGATCCCACCCATTAAGTAGCTCTTCCTTTTAGGGTTACACTTTGCCACCTGTTGCCATGCCGCATCCTTAGGGAGTGTTCTTTCCAACCTCGCTGATGTCATGCTTGATCTTGTGACTTTCTTTGGCCAATGGCACGTGATCAGAAGAGCCTTTCACCACATGTGACTGGAAGTGTAAAGAGCCAAGATGTATTTCCACAAAGTCTCTTGATCTTTTTCCTCTATCATGAGAATGGCTTATGGAGAGAGGCCTGCTCACTCAGCCTGCACCCTGCAAGGAAAAAAAAAATGTGAAGTGGTCTATATCTAACATACAAACAAAAGACAAACCTTTGTTTTTAGATGCCACTGAGATCTGGGATTGTATCTTACACAGCATTACCTATAAAAGCTGACTGATACTTACTCCCATTTTACAGGTGAAGATACAGAGATTCAAACAGATGCAGTTACTTTTCCGTGTTCACAGGATGTAGTAGCACATCTGGGAATCAAATCTAAGTCAGTGTGACTCTTGAAACAATGCTCTTAACTGTGGAGAGGATGAAAATGAAAGAAGTTGAAGCGGAATCCCAGAGCCCTAGAAGGTCAGATAAATTAAGTCACTAGAAGCTAATTAGACAAATAAGATCCCAGATCATCTGAATTTTTTGAGGGTTTCAGAGAGGAGAAAAATATTTGAATAAAAAATGGCCCCAAACTTCCCAAATTGATGGAAACATTAACCTAGGCATCCAAGTTCCATGATCTTCATATAGGATAAATACAAAGACACCCATCCTGTATATAACTATCAAACTGTTGAAAGACAAAAAAACAAAGAGAAAATCTTAAAAGTTGCAAGAGAAAAAATGTTTCATCACATCCGGGAGGATAAGAGTACTAGCTGACTTCCCATCAGGAACAGTGAGAGAGAGAAAGCAGAAGGGATGGCATATGTAAAGTGTTGGGGGCTAAAACTGCCAACCAAGAATTATTTTTCCAACAAAAGCATCTTTTGAAAGTGAAATCAAGATAAATGCATCCTCAGATAAACAACAGCTGAGAAAATATGTGGACAACTGAAGGTGGCTTAAAGTTAGGGGATCAACCAAGATAGCCTTGAGGAAACATTCAGAAGGAAAAATGAGAATTGGGAAAAATATATAGTGGAGCAGAGTTTTTGGAAGAAGTTGGACAATTTCCTGTCAGTTCCCCCCATGAGTTGAGACTTCCTAGTAAACTGGCTACTATAACTGTGCCTAAATCACACAAGTCAATTCCAACTCCTTATCACACAATCATCCATCATCCACCCACCCACCCATCCATTTGATTGTTTCTCTGAAGAACACTGAATAATTACCAGGACCTTCCACGTATATGACACCTCCAGACAGGTAAATTCCAGAGACAAACCAGATTGCTGGTTGCCAGGGTGTGAGGAGTGAAGGGGCATGAGTCCAGAATTTTCTATGGGGGGTGAAGATGAAGATATTTTGGAACTTGATTTAGGTGATGGTTGCACAACGTTGTGAAGACCACTAAATTGTACTTGAAAATGACGAATTTGGAATTATGTGAATTTCACCTCAATTAAAAAATTGTGTGAGAGATCAAGCACGCTGATACTTGGGAAAAGAGCGGTGGATTTAGTGGTGTGGCAGTCACAGCTGACCTGGACAGCGGTGGTTGTGGTGGGCGTAGAGCAAAAACTGAGAGAGAGTGAGGTCAAGGGGACTGGCCACAAGGGGGCAGACTCGAGGCCACAGTTCTTCCAGGAACTTTGGCTGCTTTTCCCAGAGCCGAGGTTGGAATATTTTCTGTCAGTTTTAACAATTCACCTCAGGTCTCCCTCTCCTGTGGGATCTCCTTTTGTCCTTGGCTTCAGAGCTTTCTCATACTCTTAACTTTCTTGCTTGCTCTTCTGTACGCTTAAAATGATGGTTTTGTCCAACTTTACAGTTTTGTCACTGTGGCTTCTAGTATGTAAATACCATATCTAGATATGGTTGCATTACAGATGCATTTTCTAAGTATGTAAAGTGAATATGTAAAATATGTGTATATGTAATACTTCAAGAAATATTTTATCTAGTAATTTTAAAGTGTTTCTAATGTAGGAAGGGCTCAGGATATTTTATCCACAGCTGTTTTGAAAACAAACTCCTGCATTTTATTTTTTTAAAGATTTATTTATTTATGCATGCAAGAACTGGGGTGCAGGCTAGAGGTGCGGGGGGTGAGAAGATTCCCCAGAGACAGAGTGGGGAGCAGAACAGGCGGATCTACTGAAATACACTGCTGAGGGGAGCAGCGGGGAGACAGGAGAGGTTTGCTGCGCCATGTGGGCCAGCTCCCTGGCCAGCCGGGGATCGAACTTGTGCTGCAGAGGCTGTGGAAAGCTTCACAGTGCTGTGCTTAACCCCTTACGCCACCAGGGAGGCCCCAAACTCCTGCATTTTAACATCTATTTTTACAGCAAGGAAAGTACGAAATACATATGATAGGCTCTCCAGATATGGGATTGCCGGTGCTTCAGAACCCCCTGAGTGTTTTTTCCTACCACAACCCTCTTCTGTGCTGGAGGTGATAACTCTCCTTTTCTGCAGCCCTGTCCTCTAACTTTGCATAGCTGCACAATCTAGCTTAGTTTCACCTGTTCACTTTCCATGCCTGGAGTCCTTGTGTGGATTTTCTTCTGTGGCTGGCTTACTTAGTCTATGTCAAGGTAAGATGGATCCACATTGTTGCCGGAGGAATTTTTATTGTTCTGTGGTCACCCATGTCTCATTACACCCCATTGATGTGTCTGTATAGACATCAGCCGTCTACCAAGTGGCGCAGACAGCAGGCAGTGGGACACGTGAGCCTGGGTTCTGTTTGGGGGGACTTAGCTAGAGAGAAACGTGTGGGGTCGGCAGCATGTGGGTGGAAAGTCACACCGGTCAGGGAACAAGTGGGGCCGGAGACAACGACAGTCCCGCCCTGAGGCCTGGACCCGCCGATGTTCAGAGATGAAGGGGGGAAGGGGAAGAGGGAGGAGGAAAATGGGAGCATGTGGAATCCTAGAAGCCGCCTGGAGAAAGCCTGTGAAGTCATGGGGAGGAAGGGATGGGCGCGCCAAGTCCGTGAGGGCTTGGTCCCGTGTACACGGAAGTGCCAGAATATCTGACTCCTGGGAGAGGAGGAGCAAGTTGATAGGGTGGGGTGCGGGAGGAAGGGAGCTGTTTAACAGTTACAGGGTTTTTATTTATATACAGGAAATCTGTTGTAAAGGAAAAGAAGATAAATGGGCAGTTTCTGGGGGGGCATGGTGGGGTCAAAATAGGCTCCCCCCACCCCCGCCTTTTCCATTTTTAAGGATTGGAGAAAAGAACAGCATGGAAAAGATCTCTTTTGAGAAATATCCAAAAGAGAAAGAAGGGTTGCTACTGCAAGAGCCAGAGGGAGAGGAAGCCGTGCCACGGCGCTCAGGGAGGACCTGACCGTGAGGAGAACCAACGCTCCCACCTCCTCACAGGAAGCCAGGCCCGGGGGCAGGTGAGCGGATGTGCGGGTGAGCTTGTGGACGTTCTCTGTGAAAAAGAGAATTAGGTCACCCGCTGAAGATGAGAATTGGGGAAGAGGCCCAGGGGTTTTAGGGGAGAAAAAGTGTGAACATGTCAGCAGAGTGGGAACACGGGGGCAACAGGAAAAAACAGATGATTCTGGGCAGCCTGCAGGCCAGGTCCACTTGACGTCAGAGGTCAGGAAAGCCCAGTGAGGTGAGTCAGGCTGGTCATGTGACCCCTCGGTGTTTCTCCTGCTGCTGGAGCGCTGGTGCCCAGCAGGTGGAGCGATGGACTTAACCCCATAACTCAGGATTTAAGCCAGTAACAATGGGTTTAAGCAGGATTTGACTCAGCTAAGCAAGTTCAAGGAATGTGTGTCCCTGAAATAGCCGTGGAATTTAAAGTAGGATAATGGGAGTGAAGACGTGAGGTAGGGGGTAGAGAGGGAGACAAGCTGGTACAGTGGATTGGAGGGAGACAAGCTGGTACAGTGGATTGGAGGGAGACAAGCTGGTACAGTGGATTGGAGGCTCTGGAGGGTCCAGGACCTGCTGAGGCTGAGGTATGGGAGTGGATGGGAGGCAGGAGGGGGTGGTGGAGGGCGAGTCACTCAAAACAGAGTTTCTGGTGGGGGGGTTGTGATTCCTGCTTGTTACAGACTGAATTCTGTTTCCCCCAAATGTATATATTGATGCTATACAAGTGCCGTGTGACTATTCGTGTTATAGGGCAGCCCCGATATTGAACGGGTTCCTGGCTGTGGGTCCTCACCCGCGCTTACAAGGGACTTATGAATACTCCACTGCAGGCACACACAACAGGTTCATAAAAGGATTATTTACAAAGGAAAAGGAAATAAGGAAAATGGACAACCCAGGGAGAAAATAGGGGAATAAAGTCTTTAATGCGTCCTACCCGATCTGCCGACCTGAAAACCCAAAAAGCACTTTCCGAGCTGGCCGGACGCTGCGAGATGCGGGGAGCCAAAATGGGCCCCCCCCCCAAAGCCCACGTGTCTGGCTTTATACCAACCTGGCTGCTGAACCCCACCCTCAGGTCCCAGCCACCTTCCCTTGGGTGGGGATGGGATGTGGAGTTCCCAGTGTCTTTGGCTTTGGCCTGGGGTGGGGGTGGAGTCCACAAAGCCTGTGTGGAATTAGCTTTAGGACAGCCTTTTCCCCCTAACACTCGGAGATAGCCTATAAAGAGGTATTAGGGACAAGTAAAGCCATAAGGGTCTGGCCCTGTAGATACAGGATTAGTGTCCTAATGAAAAATACCAGAGGGCGCTCCCGTGGGCGCCCATCTCCCCTGCATCAAGTGAGGACACACTGTGGAGGCGGCCATCTTGGAGAGCAGGGAGGAAGAGAGTTCTCGCCAGAGCCTGAATGGGCCAGCACCTTGATCTTGAACTTCTAACCTCCAGGACTGTCGGGAAAAAAAAATATTCTGTGGCGTGAGCTACTTAGTCGATGTTATTTTACAGCAGTGCGAGCAGACAAGCACACCAGCACAGATGCCTGCTGGTCTAGGATAGGGCATGGGAATGGCAGGCGCAGGGCACGGGAAGGATTAGCTGTGAGCATGCTGTAATCACCACGAATCACGACGGGCATTGTGCAAGGGAGCGTGACAGTGAGTCAGTCCTAGGAATGAGGAGCTCACATGTTAACTAGACCGTGGTGCTCATTTCACAATCCACACAATATAGAATCATCATGTTGGACTCACGAAACAAATATAATAAGTCAAATAAATCACAATTAAAATATACAGATAGGTAAAGGAACAAGAGTTTGATTCTGGTGTCAGCAAAGGCCCTAACAAGGAGAAACGGAACTGGGTAAGTTCCGAGATTCAAAACTGGACATTTTTAGGGAGGAGGCAAGAAGGGACAAAAAGATTCTGAGGCCAAGGTGGGAGAGTAGAACTTCTATCCAAAACCTGGGTGGAATCCGGGGAAGGGGTACAGGTCCAGTCTTGTCTCTCAGTCCCCGGAGGCCTGCTCCCAGGCTTGTCAGAGAGGGAGTGAGATGGTGCTGGGAAGGGCAGTCAGCCTCGAATTCTTCACATGTTGGAGGGGTTGTAATCTTGGCTAAGGACCCACCCACCAGGCCTCGAGCAGGCAAGGAGTATGTGTTCACCTTGAAGATGATGCCGTTTTCACCCTGGCAGTGTGATCGCAGTGGGTGGTTTGGAAAATCACATGACAATGTCCTTTCTATGGCGAGCTCTTCCATGGAAAGTGTAGCAGAGCCACGGGCCCACACATAACCTCCGTGTAGGGGAGGGCCCATGTGGACGGGCCTGGGCTGACTTCCATTGCATCTTCCAAGGAGGGCACTTGGGGTACAACTGTTACTCCTACCTCAGGGCCTTTGCACTGTTCTCTTTGTGGCAGACATTCCCAGAACTGGTCCTCTCGTTTATTTATTCAAGCTTCCCATCCCGAAGGCTCAAGCTCAGACAGCTCACCTCAACCTCTCACTGTTTGTTTATTCTGCTGTCTCTCCCTTCATAACATTTACCGTCATCTACCATTAACATTTTTATTTGTCCATTTATTTTTGTGTCAACACTGCAAGGTAAGGCCATGAAAGCAGGCACTTTGCTTTGTTTCTGTTTCTAGATTCAAAAACATCTATAGCAGTGGTGGGTAAATATCTTTTGAAGATGAATGAATAATCTTAATCCTGAGGAAAGTAATCTGGATAGGGTTCTGAAGTTAGATTCCTTGACTAAAATAATGCCTAGGCAAAAACACAAGAAGAGGCATGTCTAAGCCAATTTACGGCAACACTATTTTTAGTAAGAAAACCACCCAGTTGCCTTCAACAGCGAGTTCGTTGAATAAGTCCCATCCCTACTGCAGCCACTAATCTACTCAGTCTCCATAGAGAGGCCTCTACTGCATGCTTCCTGTAGTGGAATCATCAAGATATGTTCCTTTATGAGTAGATGCTTCAATACTTCATTCATTGTTACAGCTGGACTCTATTATATGGCTATACTGTTTTTTTTTTTTTTAAAGATTTATTTATTTAAGCATATAAGAGCTGGGGTACAGGCCAGAGGTGTGGGGGTGAGTGGATTCACCAGAGGCAGAGTGGGGAACAGAACAGGCAGACTGACTGAAATACACTACTGAGGGGAGCAGTGGGGAGTCGGGAGAGGTCTGCTGCGCCATGTGGGTCGCTCCTTGGTCGGGGCTCGAACTCATGCTGCAGTGGTGATAGCACTGAAACTTAACTCCTAGGCCACCAGGGGTGCCCCTATACCATTGTTTTTAGTCCATTCAACAGTTCATGGCCATTTTGGTTTTTTTCTGCTGGTCTGTTATGAGTAATACTGCAGTGAACATTTATTTGCAAGTTCTTGTGTAGACATAGGTTTTCATGACTCCTGAGTATACAGTAAGGAGTGGAGCTTCTGCTGATTACTGAAATCTTGAGGTTTTTTTTTTTAATTTTTAAAATTTTAAAACATTTTTTAACGTCATTTTTCATTTTCAAACGATATTTGTTTCCCCCCACCCCTCAGTGTAGTCCCCATGGAGTTTCCTTCCCCAGTGCACCTGTGCACCATCCCCTCGTCCCCTGGGCTCCTCCCTCCCTCCTTCTGCTCCCTCTCCCGCCTCCTCCCCTGCTGGATGTCTCTGATTCATAATTGTCTGTTTTTGCTTTGTTGTGTTTTGTACTGTTATTATTTTTTTACACTGATATCTTATTTGGTTCCCCTATATTCCTGCTATAAGTGAAACCATCCGATATTTTTCTTTTTCCTTCTGGCTTATTTTACAGAGCATCATTCCTTCGAGCTCCATCCACCGTTGCTGCGAATGGCTTTTCTTTTTTGATTGCTGAATAATATTCCATTGTGTATATGTGCCACATCTTCTTGATCCAGTCATCTATTTTTGGGCATTTGGCTTGTTTCCAGGTTTTGCCTATTGTCAATAGTGCTGCAGTAAACATAGGTTACAGGTGTTCTCTTGAATCAATGTATTTGTGTCCTTTGGGTAGATCCTTAGTAGTGGAATTGCTGGGTCGTATGGTAGTTCTATCTTTAGCAGGTTGAGGAACCTCCACACAGCTTTCCACAGTGGTTGGGCCAGTTTGCACTCCCACCGGCAGTGCAGGAGAGTTCCTTTTTCACCATGTCCTCGCCAACATTGGTAGTTGCTTGCTTTTTTTGATATGTGCCATTCTCACTGGTGTAAGGTGGTATCTCAGTGTGGTTTTAATTTGCATTTCCCTGATTATAAGGGATGTTGAACATTTTGAAATCTTTAGGTTTTTTTTGTAAATCTTTTAGTTCTTGGAGTATTTGTCTATGGGAATGGGCAGTCAAATTATTTTCTCTTAAAATAACTAGCAATAGTTTCTGTTGGTGTGGTTATACTATAACTCAATACACAACTTTTATTTCATTTTTTTGGTTTTGATTTTGAGGGGGAAATTCTTATAGAATTTCATTTTGTTTCATATCTATGCAAAATATTCCTATGGGCTTCCCATTTCCTCACTTGCTACCTTTAATAAGCCTGTGGAAAGTGGCTAGAAAGGTCCAAGTACAGAAGGCAGCCAAGAGTGAAGGTCAGGGATCAGCTGAGGACCCCACAGGTCAGAGGCCTGGCAGTTGGGGTCTTGGCAAGGAAATTGGGCAGTGACCAAGCAGGGTTGGAAGATTTGTTACAGAAATTAGGATTGAGCAAATATTTAAATATCTTGAAGATAATGGATCACAGGAGGCAGGTGTCTCCTTGTCAAAGAAGAAAGCTGCAAATTTGAAAAGGGGACAGTCTGGAATGAACCTGGTGGTGGTGAATTGGAACTGGCGATACTGGTGTGAACTCATGGTTCTCAAACTCTAACCAGACACAGAAATAAATAGCGAGCAACTGTATGCACACCGGGGACCAGATCTGTGTTCTGAATGCCAACGGGAACCACCGCTCCTTGGGTAAATGACAGATTCTAGGATGGGGAC